GGTTAATTTAGAAATTCGAAAAAGGTTGTTAAAGGTGTATGTTTGGAGCACGGCGTTGTAGGGGTGCGAAACATGGACAGTGGGAGCGGCGGAAAAGAAAAGGTTAGAAGCGTTCGAAATGTGGTGTTATAGGCGGATGATGAGGATATCGTGGGTAGAAAAGGTTAGAAATGAAGAGGTATTGGAAAAAATAGGAGAACAGAGGACTCTATGGAACTCAATAAAAAATAGGCGAGGTAAGTTGGTAGGACACCTTCTCAGGCATGAAGGTCTAGTCAGAGATATATTAGAGGTAGCAACAGGAGTTAGGAGGGGTAGAGGTAGACCTAGATTAGATTACTCTTCGGAAATAGTTAAGGATGAGGGCTGTTCTAGTTTTAGGGAAATGCGAAGTTTAGCTCAGGATAGGAAAGAGTGGGGGACGTGTCCAACCAGTCTTAGGACTGGTGACCTTATGATGATGATAGCAATGAATTATTCCACGCACCCAAATAACGAGCATTTCTGTCTTTATAATGAAATGCTTTTATTTGCAAAACCATTAGCCAAATTTAAAAGAACGACGACGCGTCATGTCAATTAACAGAACAATTTAATTTATTGATAAGTAAATGCTTACGTCCTAATAAGCTCGACGGCTTCTTCGTATTTCAAGCCAAGTTCGATAAGTGTTAAAGCCACCATGACGGGAGCTCTACCCAATCCAGCAACACAATGAACTGCGATACAGGAATCAGGGTCATCATGAAATTTCTTCTTAAGTATTTTGAACCATTCTTCAACAACCTCGTTGGGAGGAAAGGTACCGTCGTCATAGACTAAATCAAATACCTCAATCCCTGCATTTTTAATCTCGTCAGTTTGATAAGATGGCTCGCAAACTCTGACGACGGCTTTTACATTGTGTTTCTTCAGTTCCTAGAATAAAACGTCCCTGAGGCATTTTTCATATCTTATTCAAACTAAATATTTTAAAATACGATAAAAGATTCTACAGTAGGTTAAGTTTGTAAAAGAAATTTGTACAGCTGTGATAGCGGATATCAGACATATTGGAATTAGCTGACAATTAAAACGTCTAATAAAAGAATGAAATTAACTAAATGGCCTACTTTCGACACAGAATATGATGCAGTTTAATCGAAACTTAATTAAAAATTGCCAAATTTGTGGAATTCGACGTTCGATTGTGGTAGGGTCATAGACAGGATGTGGTAGTTGCTGTGTGAAGTACTATACACCTTGAAATTACGTTAAGTTAGGTGCAAGGGGATTCCCTGATTAGCTTGTGTGAAGTGCTATCCTCCATAGACATACGTTACGCTGTGGTAACAGGGGACTCCCTCATTGAATTGAATGAAGTGCTATGTATCAAGGGTTTATGTTCAACTAATTCTAATTTATATGCCAATTAGAAAATCTTCTATTATGTATAACGTGATTATCGGTCCCATTGTCCCCAAAAATGCTCCCGGACACACTATTGCCCCGTTTTCCAAAACCGTCAGAAAAATATGAAACCCGCCGGAGGCGTCAGTCAATTTGGCTCAGAAATAGACCTATCAGTTTTTTCCATTTAGGAATATAAAAAAATATGTCAAGACTTCTANTATAACGTGATTATCGGTCCCATTGTCCCCAAAAATGCTCCCGGACACACTATTGCCCCGTTTTCCAAAACCGTCAGAAAAATATGAAACCCGCCGGAGGCGTCAGTCAATTTGGCTCAGAAATAGACCTATCAGTTTTTTCCATTTAGGAATATAAAAAAATATGTCAAGACTTCTATTCTTATTTAAAAAACTAATTTGTTCATTTGACAAATACAAATGATTAAAATCTAACTTTTTCTAAATAAAGAACATTAAAAAATGTGTTCTTTGTTTTTCATTGATAACCTGCTAATTGACGTAAATAAACCGATATCCCGTTTCGAGTAAAAAAATAAATTGACCATCGTCAACGGTATATATCCCTTTAAATATGGACGGTTTCCGGTAGTTCTAATGTTTTACACAGTTTATTTACGCAATGTGAACAGATTACATAGTAAATCGATCACATTTTCACAAATATGCATAAAAACTTATATTAGGTAATACTTTCTCAGTAACGTGCAAGATTTCCGAGTAAAACGTTTTTAACTTCCTATTATTAGACGCAGAAGATTGCGTAGAATTATTTTAAATTGAGTAAGTTCCGTTTTTCAACCAAAATAAACAAATTATTCAAATTCCGATTTTAGCGGCTATTGACAATACTTTCCAGGTCAACAGTGAGAGAAAATTTAGGAGAAATTTTTGTATTACGATTTAAGTAATAGGTAATCATTATTTTAATTTTCAAAGCAAAGACAAATTATTACAATAATTAGTTAATGATAAACCTACCTCAATATAAGAAAGAATATTTTGGTCGGAAGGTCTATCGGTGATCAGGAACTTGTATCCCTTCAGTTCTATCTCAGCAGGAGCTGGTCTCATATCTTTTTGACGCATCGTGGTATTGTTCATATCCAAAAGTAAATAGATATTCAATAAAAAATGTTTTACTGATTTAACCCCTGGCTGTAAATATTTAAAGACAATAAAAAAAATATTCGCCTAAAATAAAAGATAAATACATACGTAAATTAAATTGAAAACCTAAAAAATAATATATCGTTTGCAGCAGGTGTTTCTTATTCAGTCTTTTTTACTATTTAAGTGGGGTATTTATTATTTTTCTTTCCTTTTGAAGATAGTTTCTGATATGCTTTCGCAAAAATAGTCTGTCTGTAATCTGCAACATGAAATTCAACGTTACATTTTTACAAATCGTGATTTTAAGAATTTCTACTTTTTAAACCAATTACAACAATATCGAACTCCTTTCTGTTTGAAAAAAATATCTTAAGAACTTTATAATATAATAAATATTGTAAACAGTCTATATACATTGGTACATGTTTTCGTAAATACATACAATGCAAACTTTTCTCATAAAAGTATTACTTTAATTAATTCAATTTTTACGCAAGCATAAAAGACAAGAAACTGATAAAATGTTTTATCGAAGCTAGTCCTTGAAATAAAATAAATTTTTATCTTGATTTAATTGACGTCAGTAGGAATTTTAAAGGACTTCAAAAAAATAAAGAATTGTGGTATTACGTACATGCGTATAAGCACATCATTTATTGCCTGTCTACTTTAAATCCTTCTAGTACGTCGTCTTACGACAATTATTTGAAGGAGCTTGGAACATCCAAGGGAAGTACCAAGAAAACGGTTTTAACCGAAGCAAGTGCATTTTTACTTGCAATGTAGACAGGCTCTTGAAACATTCATGAATACAACAGTAAAATACGCGTAATTAATATAAAAATATTGATGTACAGGGAATTACAGTACATTCCCATAATAATATTTCAATTAATAACTCAAAGTAATGCACCCGAGCTTTACAATTTAGAACCATTTATGAATGTATTTGTAAAATAACTGTTGTAAAGATATACCTACCTACAAATAAACTGTTGATAATCCACAGCAAGCTATTTTTTTATTTATAAGGGTAACTACAAAATTATTATTTCTACTAATATTTTATTCTTCATATCGATACTATATGCTACAGTTATTGGAACAAGGATGAAAGCAAATTGCAGGCTCTTGTCCTGTGATCCATAAAACTTTAACAAGATTACCGATGCTCAGCAATAATAGCAATAGCGTAGGTATGGTTTAAATAAATCCGGAAAACGAGAAGGCTAAATACACTCAAAGGACATCAAATATTATCCAAGAATTATATTTTCTTTTAAAAATCAAAATATGTGCTGTAAAGAGCAAAAATCAAATTTAACAAAGACAATACAAAAATTACAACTGCAGCGAATAAGAAACATGTTAAACTACTAAACTTAACAATTCCATGTAAAAAAATAATTTAAAAATTATTGCCAAAGACGTAAAAAAATTAGGATTGAATCTATTTCTTGCAAAAAAATAATTACCCACTTCGTTTACAGTTATTATTATTCATTACCCACATATAATTATATTTCGAGAAAATATAATTATTAAAATGAATTAGATGGCCGTTACGTATGCACATGCCTGGAATTTAAACTTTGCTGAGTAATTGCTGATAACAACTGAATGAGTAATTCATAATAATTAAGAATAGAGCAACATTGTTACTTAACAATCGACTGATTTATGGACAACGAAAAAATATTCGCATTAACTCCCGTATCGATAGTAACATCTATTTACTTATGTAACAGAAAATAGCTATTTCTACCTATATATGCGTCTTTGTTATTATAGGTACTTTTTATTATGCTGAACAAATACATGTTGGGTGCGGAAACCACACAGTTTTCGAAACTTTCCTTCGTGTTGTCTTTTCCTACCGTAACCTTAGCAATTAAATAAAAGCTTCTGTTAAAGTTCGACCTAAATTTTTAGGTTAGATTAGGGTTGCTTTCTTTTTTTTTGGAAGCTCAAAAATAAATGTGAAGAAATGGTTACCCTGCCTACATATACCTAGGTATATATTCCGATTCGGCATAGTGGACAAAACCGCACAACATACTAAAATTTCAGTAAAGTCGGAAGTAAGCATAGTAATCGAGACCTTCCGTTATTAATGCTACGAAGTAAAAGTTAATGATGAACTTGATCACGCGAAGCTTTAGCTAGAAAAGTCAATAGCTATCGTCTGTTGGAGGAAATTAATTTAATTAAATTTAGGTAATAGTAGGTAATTATGATTATAAAAAAGTATACTTTCACATTTACTGTATTATCATTAATTTTTTCATACTTCGGATCGAAGTTTATACTATCCAATTATTTTATAAGATGCGACTTGTACGTAATTTCACTTATTTTTTTGATACTGCTTTCCCTAAATTATAATTTCGAGTACATTTCGACTGATAAAGGCAACGAATTGCACTGCAAAAGTGGTCCATTTTTAGTAAACAAAATACTTCAGAAACTATCTGAAAATTTAATATTATCTTTCATCGAAATAATTCAAAAATTGATATTTTAAAATAGTGACTTCTAATATAACAGATGCGTGTACTTTTTAATTTTTTTTTCCGCCCCTTTAGTAACTTTATACATACCTAGGTATATATCAGTAAAAAAGTTTTCCAAGTACTCATAACCGGTTACATAATATTCATATTTCGATCTCAATAAACACCTTCAGTTTCAAATAAAAAATAAAAGGTCCGCAAAACATGCATTATTTTATTAATCAGTGATCATCGTATCAATTATTATTGTAGAAACTCGCCCAGATGTTGCCAGTATTATTTTATGTCTCAATTACGTATATATCGTACTTAACAATATGATAAGAAGGTATCATATTCTGAGATTAACAATTTTTGTGGGCGCCGCGTTAATCTATTTTCACCTTTTGTATTTTTATAACTTTCCAGTTATGTGGATTACAGTGAATTTAAGACAATAGGTATATGCGTGCTCTTACGTCATGTCATTTATTTCACATTGTTTCAACTTAAATAGTATTGCGCAACTTTGCAACTTAAACATCTTTCATTTCTTTATACCACACACTGAAAATAGTATCCTTCATACAACTTTAATTAATAAAAAAAAATAGCGTTACCCAAAACAATTTCTTTTCTAAGAAAAAAACTGATTTGAAATATGGGGAAAAAAATAAATCTTACCTTAAATCTTTGATTGTGTATATCAACTAATCAGCAGTCGTAAGCTTAAATAGAATGCCGTGAAATACCTAGTTTATAAATTAAGACGTATAATTATTGTTAATTTATTTGTGTTGGGCCTGGCAATATTCTGCACTGTCCAAATGGAACTCCATGTATGCGAGAACAGCCTCACCAAGGAACTGAAAATTAAAAAGAAAAACATCTTACTAATTTCCACCTTACAATTACTAAATTAATTTAAAAAATACAGTGAATTTCATTTATTACGATCTTGGTTATAGCGACGTTAAATCAATTCGTTGAATTTAAAGCATACTTCAGTACAAAATTCATGTGGCTATGGCGACTTCGGATATAACGCCGAGTCCGGGTGTAGCGACTGTTTTTAATGAATCATTTGTAAGAGTCGGAGTCGGCCGCCAAAGACATAAAGAGCTTTCTTATCTTTTGTTTACATCCACACAGATGACCAGCAAGAATGATGACCTTTACCCCTTGTTTATAGATGTTAGGCAGGTAGGTAGATAAGCGTGTACGTTAAAATGGTTCACCGATATTCTTAGTAGCAACTGTGTTTAGTAAACTTTTGAATAAATATGACTGCTAGATGCACATTTACTGTTAAAAAAAAGGCGGAAATCGTTTCAAAATTGAAAAATGGCGAAAACTGTATACGTGTCTGTATTTCTTTACCTTTGCCTGTAACGACTTTCGGATATAACGACCTCGTATGAACTGTATATGAATTCACTTTTATTTTTGTTAGATACCAAAGGGTTTAAAAAACATAAGTGTAATTTTTCTTTTTCAACAATTAGGAATAACTAATTTCAAAAAAGTTACACAAGTAGCGGCTAGTTAACAGCCGAACATATATACGAAGGAGCGTTTTGTTGTATCTGATACTCCTACCATTTCTGCGAACGGTTTTTTCGTAAGTCGGGCATATTCTAGTATTAATTTTTCGAATGATTTTCGGAGCGGTCACTTCGATTGGCCGTCCTGGACGTGGGTCGTCTTCAACTGAGTTCCTGCCTTGCTTAAAGAGGGTATGCCACTTGTAAACCATGGTTTTACCTGGGCAAGAATCCTCGTAAACGGATGACATCTCTTCCAGTATGGTTTGAACTGATTTTCCTTGCTTGGTAAAGATCTTTATAACAGCGCGGTACTCGATTTTCTCCATATTTCACAATTTGTTCCCAATTGACTTGTTTCGTAGACGATAGTTCAAAGACTACTGACCTAATTACGATAAAACTTGGTATTTATGAGTTGCTTAATTCGTAATGACTCGACTAAGTACTCTCACTAATGACCTATCTACCCATTCAGCGAACTTAAAAACGCACCCTCGTAAGAAGGCCATTTTTAAAGCCATCTTTTTCAAAGTCATCAATCGTTAATAGGTATCAAAAGAAAAAGTTGGAGAAGATGCTTACAGAGATATACAGTAGTTAATGTTCTTATTTTATTGCTGTAACTTAATAGTTTGTTATTGTTAATAAACCGATACTGAAATGTAATACGTGTAAAGTCATATGCCTACAAATACGAAGCTTCCGCTAATTTGTATCTGTTAATGTTCCCACGCTCAACGTTACGATCATGATCAAATTAATAACAACTATTGGCAATTTCTGTTATAAATTTGGCAACGTATGAACTTTTTCAGTTCTTTCACCTTGTTTCACTAGTTGCCACACTTATTAGATGCCAGTCTGTTATCGTATTGATTCCCTAAAGAAAGCGCTCGGACGTTGACCGTCATCATTTATCCTCTGGGGCTTTATATAAAGTTAATCGATATTACCCAAAAATTCTAATGACGTGACGCCACCACTAAAGTGCAGAAAAATATGAAAAATTGTCTGTAACTTGTATTTGAAAATAAAAAAATAAAAATGATATATGGTTCATATGATAATAAATAATATAAAACTGCATCGGAATTTTTAATTTAAATTTTTTCAAGTTGGAGGAAATTCGTAGCAAATACAAAAGGTTTAACTGTAGCCAGACTGTACAATCAGCACATATTTAAACAATTCGAAGCAAGCGGAAAGAAGAATTTTTCCACATTTATATCTACATATTTCTTTATGTAACTAGGTACTTATTTTACTGTTGTAATACTGTGGCTCGTTCATAAAATGTGTTGCAAAATAAGGGAGAGGAAGGGGCATTGCTTGGTGTGATGAGATATGACAAAGGGGAGGAAGTCAAAGGAAATGTGACGTTCGCAGTTCATCAATTTTATTTTAATTTTTTCCTTAACTTTGAAGTCCTTAAATTTTTTCATTACGATAGGAAGTTATTTTCACTATTATTGTAAATTATACATAAGAATGACGAACGGGGAGAAGGGGTTCAAAAAGATAAATGTCTAAGTGAAGTATCTCAAGGACGGTCCCTCAGAACTTTTTTAGAATAGGCTTAACCTTCCCTAAAGTACTTCGTATACTACGTACATTTTCTTATGAAAACTCTGAAATACTCTAAATTTCCCGACAGTTATTTGGACATAAAATGTTTCGACTTTCTTTTCTTATTAGATGAATAATACAACATTAAAATCCGTAATTTCTTTACCCTACATTACCTGTAGGTACATTAGATCAACTCAAAATATCTACGTAATCTTAAGTAAAAAAAAAACAACAACGGTCACCTTTATAAAGGTTTCCATAATGAGTTAAATAACAAGAGATCCAAATCCAAAACAGAGAACGTTGCCACTGCGTCACAATATTAATGAATAATATAGCAAAAGATCAAAAAAAAAGTATCAAAAACACAAACTCCAAACAACTCCAACAAACAGAATACAAATGGCAACACCTTCGTTTATTACTTGTTAAACAATAAATTTCAATAACAGTAAACAAACGAATATTAATTAAACTTTTAAAAGTTCCGGTCGAACAAGATAGTAGTATTTAACAATAATGATTATTGTTTTATAATACGCAATAACGAAGAGAATAGAACGTGCGCTTATTCTAAACAAAGCCAATCATAACTGTATGTCATATGCAATAATAATTCAACGACGATATGTTGTGTACATTACAAATGCGCTTTGAACATGGTTATGCAAATAAACTGACAAGTTCGACATAAACGAATAAACAAATAAAAATAGGAGAATTAAATTAATGGTAAATTAAAATATTGATGCACCTACACATTACGAGAATTTTATTCGAGAAAATTAATATATTTAAATGAAAGTTTTCAGAATGGCATAAACTTACAAAAAACAATGCTACGACTTGAATGAAAAATATTGTACAAGTAGAAATCCATAAAAATTCACTTCAATGTTGGGCACTATAAAATCCGTTTTTCTCTTTTAGCAATAATAATCGATATTTAAAATCAAATTGTTGTATGGAATACAAACGATGTCGTTTTTTCATAAAGTACTGTCTATCAAGCATACGTCTACAATACCTCTACATATGACAGTCACATGGTATGAAGATTAAAACCAAAGGAACAAAAACTTGAGCTACTGCCAAGATAAGTTAAAATTCGGAGAGTACACGAGTAAACATTGCCCTGGGAATCTAAAAAAATCGCGTATTTTATTGTAACTACTCAGAAAAAATCCATATAGACTTAAAAGAACTTTTCAAAAGAAAAAATGAACGATCTAATCAATATAATCTAAAATAAGCTACTTGGAATACTCTTATTGACATTCTAAATTCCGACTGGGAACTCGTAAATAACAAAAATTATTATGAATTTGCCTTTTTATTATATGTACGTTATTATTATTTGCAAACATTAGAAAAAAGCGATTTGTAAATGCAAAACCGGTATATTTATTTCTGTTTATAGTTTGGACTTTATTTTTTTGTTTTACCATTAAGATTATTACCTATTACTAAAAAGTGCGTAACTTTAAATTTTGCATATTTGCCACAAAATAATAAAATAAAACTTAAACGATACTGAGTAAATTGATATAATAAAATGAAAAGGAAAAGGCAGACTACATATTTCGATAAAGCGGCAAAATATTAATTCAAACAAAACTGATGATGACTGACATCCGTTACATCGACCCCTGCTGTATAAGGTCAATAGCAGCGAAAATGGTGCTTAAACTTAAATGAGATACTATGCATTATTAGATTTTAACAATTCAACATTATACAAAGAAAACAAGTATGCAACTCTATTAGAGAGATAATCTGTTATAGTAGACAGTAGGTTATTTATACGAACAATGAATATTTCCTATTTCTTCAAAGTGAAACTTAAGGATCACTTTGCATTTCTAAATATAAACATGAAAATATATTAAACATTTAAATATAAGTGCCCGAAAATTACAACAAATAAGAAGTTCTAAATTTTAAATGTGTTGACCAGCTTTTCTCGTTGTACCTTTTTACGAATGTCGTAATTTACGTCAAGTGTCTCATAAACACTAACAATTTAATAATAAAATTATGGCAACGTTGTTATTGACGTCATATGTTCTATCCGTTTGTTTTTAAATGAACTTAGCAATAATATAAATAACACCTACAGTATGGTACCTTATACTAGAATATTAAACGCTTTCGTTCAAACAAAACCATAAAAGGTATGAAAATTACACTTCTTTAGACATTACATTTAATTTAATTTTTTTATCATCAATAACATTTCTAAATAATGACCTTCCCTTATTAGACAGTTAACAAGTCTATTCGCACTAATTCGACTAATTATCTTTGCGATGAAATGATGATGATGTAGACCCCCTTTGTAGGTACATGATAATCGTTAACGTGAAATTTCAATGTTTATCAAGTTTCATCTACTAAAACAGGCAAATCAAGGAAAAATGGTTAATAATGAGCACGGTCTAATGGCCTTGCTTAACCATCGCAGTATTAATGACAATTGCTTCCATATACAGTATGTAGGTATTATATATATAATAAATGACAGTGGCACCATAATAAAACAATTGATTATAACAAATTAATTGCAAAACATCTTTACCATAGCTCTATTGTTATAACATAACTAACCACAACCTAACATTTAAGAGGTGCATATTAAAAATAAAAAGAAATAGTAAAAAATTAACATATATTTATGTTATGCCTTGGTTTGAAATTTAGAAACTAGTTTGACCCAGGTGAAAGTAGGTAGGTGTGACATTTCGCGACAACCAGTTTGAATTAGGACAAACTAGTTTATTCTATCGCTTTTCGGATAAACTAGTTTGGCCTAGGTAAAACCGGTTTAACCGGAATTCGGCTTTAGCTGGTTAAAGATACATATATCGCCAAAATATAACTATATATTTTATGAGTATATCGGTAACGAAATTTAAATTTCATAGAAATAGTGCGGTAGTTATTTATTCATGTGTATAAATCGAAATTAGGAAATTTATCACAATCAATAAACAGACTGAACACACCTAAAGTATAATCAAACAGATAGCAAACTACACCTGTCCCCGCAACTCCTTATGACAAACATTCCATACACCAAACATTTAAATTTCTAACAAAAAACAACTTCCTATTCTATCAGGTGCTAATGCAAATCAATTTTCTATAAAATATGAGTATTATACCGTATAGAATGGCAAAAATTAAAATTGGAAGGAGTTGTTAAAATAAGTTTCGTTAATTGATAATGATACGTTAATAATAGAAATAAATTTGAACTGCAAGTAGGTATCGATTCGTAGGAATAACCAAAAAGTTAAAAATATTATAAATAAATTCAGAAATGCAACAGGTAAATTACAAAATACTTATCTTAATTATTAACTGTCGTTAAACATTAAACAAAACCTGTTACGATTAACAAAATTTATTGAGAGTAAATATTTCTGTAAATTTAATTCTACATG